CTGCCTGTCATGAGAAACCTGAAAGTCTACATTTAAACTTCCTGTTTTACCAAGTGTTATTTTGTTCTTATTATTTTGTGGCCCAGTAAATTAAAGACCATACTTTCATGTTCAATAAATATTTCTCAGATCAAAGCACATATCTTAAGAAAAAATAAGTACAATAAAGTGTTCTCTGCCTGTCTTCTCCTCAATCACCAGATAACTGATTTTAATTAGCCGATCAGTTGCTCCTATATGTAAATTTCTACTGTATGAGACATTACTAACTTCTTACATTAATAGCTAATGTTTATGAAGATACTAAGTATATATTCTCGTTTATTCTTCGCAACAGTTTTATGAATTAGATATTATCATCATATTCCCCAATTTAGTGTGGAAAACGGGGACATAGGATAATAACTTACCTGGGGCTGGGATCACATAGTTAATAAATGGCAAAATTAGGATTTAAACTCAAGCAGACTAACACCAGTACTCACATTTAAACTTCTATCTGCTTTTACATAAACCTATTTCATAGTTCACTCTTAACACTCTTGGATAAATATCTCAAGTTTAAAACATTAGCAAACAAGTAAGTCAAAACAGCAAAATGGCATTTCTCACAACCAACTACAAGTGATTAATTCTACCGGCCTTTGCACAGTCCATGAAGTCACCAGTGAACTGTATTTTCGTTATACATGTTGACTCAGTGATTACTATGCTTAACGTACAGGATTTTAAAATCTGTATTACAATGATATATCCTATACCATTTTGGTGAACTTTAAAAAAGACACCAATTTCTAAAGACCGGAGAAAGCTATGTTTTAAACAGAAAGAATGTGCTGGCAATCTTTTAAAAGAAAAACAATTTTCAAGGTGACTTTATATCTGCTTTCTGGAAGCAAATTTATATATATATATATACTTTTTTTTTTAAAGATTTATTTATTTGTGCAGAACTGGGGTACAGGCCAGAAGCTCAGGGGCGGCGAGAGGCTTCACCAAAGACAGAGTTGGGAGCAGAACAGGCAGATCAATGAAGTACAGTGCTGAGGGGAGCAGCGGGCGGGTCAGGAGAGGTCTGCCACGCCATGTGGTCACCTCCGGGGTAGGCGGGAATCGAACTCATGAGGAAGTGGCTTTAGCTTCTTAGTGCTGTGCTTTACCCCGCTGCGCCACCAGGGAGGGCTGCAAATTTACATTTAATTTACAGGTGTGTACACCTATATATCTCTACATATGACCAAAAAATAACAAAATTTAATATTTTCTATTAAAAATAGTAATGAAAAAAACAAAATCAGCTTGCACTACAGAAAAACTTCAAAAGATAGAATTTATAAAATCAAGACAGTAAACAAAGTAATGATTCAGTTTATTTTTTTTTTTTAAAAAGGATGCGGGCCCTCCCTGGTGGCGCAGCGGGTTAAAGCACAGCACTGAGAAACTAAAGCCACTTCCTCATGAGTTCTATTCCCGCCTGCGCCGGAGGTGACCACATGGCTGGCAGACCTCTCCTGACCCGCCCGCTGCTCCTCTCAGCAGTGTACTTCGTGGATCTGCCTGTTCTGCTCCCCACTGTCTCTAGTGAAGCCTCTCACCGCCCCTGAGCCTCTGGCCTATACCCCAGTTCTGTATGCACAAATAAATAAATTTAAAAAAAAAAAAGGATGCATGGAATCATGGAATATGGAAAAAAACTAACGTTAAGCTGGAAAAAAATACTCACCATTAAAAAAAGTCTAAGTTAGAGAAAAAGCAATAATAGAAGTATTGAAATTGAGGGGAAAAGGAAGCAAGCAAGAGATGAAAGCCCTAAATAACATAAGCAATCCAGTTCAAAGCTCTGAGTCAGATCTCACTGCAAGAGAGAGCCCCTCATAATGATACTCTGTCAGAAAGGGGTACTATTATGTGACCTCCTTCTATAAAGGAGTTGTTATGGCTTACTAAGGATATACCAATGTATGAAAAGGAAAACTGGTGATACCAAGTCACCTGGACCTGAATGGTCTCTATCCCATTACCAAAGTCTTCACACTGTCCATTCGGATGACAGGTTATAGGTTACTCTATTTAATTCAGCACCTGGAGACTGCCTAGTATTTTACATGCATGTTATCTTCGGAACTATATCATTAACTTCTGAAGAGCAGAAGCTATCCTATTTATTCAATTTTTACACACATAGTCTACAGCAATGTTAATGCATGAAGTAAAAAGGATGTAAACCCTATCAATCTTGGGAAATCACAGCATACCATCAGAACATTAGTTTGAAGAAATCTTAAGAGATCATCTAAGCTAGCCTCTTTATCTTAAAAAGCAAAGAAACTACAGGGCTAAGTGTCCAGTAACCTTAAGTGTGATTAACACCCTAAGCCCCTGAATAGACTGGTTTAACTCTTTCCAAATAACCTCTAATTTCTTCCATCATATAAAATAACCACATATTTTATGAAAAAAAAACAAAATATTCACTATAGATGTTCCTTGACTTACAAGGAATTATGTCCCAAAAACCCATCATAAAGGTAAATTACATGGCGAAGTGAAATGCATTTAATCCTTAACCTAGCATCACAGCTTAGCCTAGTTTCTCTCTGAAGTGCATAGAACATTTATATTAGCCTAGAGTTGGAGAAAATTATCTAACATAAAGTGAATTTTCTAGTAAAATGTTAGCATCTCATGTAACTTATTGAATACTGTACTAAAAGTCAAAACAGTTTGTACAGTATCTTTGTTTACCCTTATGACCTCACAGTTGACTGAAGCCATAGCTCACCAAGAAAACTGTCCAACATACTACTAGTCTGGGAATAAAACAAAATTCAAAGTACAGTTTCTACTGAATGTATACATCTTTCATATCGTCATAAAGACAAAAAATCATTGTTGAGCCATGGTGGTAAGTCAGGGACTATATGTATATGCCAGCGCTTTTATAAGATTGGATGTGCCTGGCAAACTGTGTGCATAGCTACATTTGTAAGAAGTACTTTTTAAACACACACAATAACTCTTAAAAGGTTAAGTACTATTAACCCCATTTTACAAATGTAATTTGACCATGGCAGAACAGTGATTGTCATTTTCTAATGAACTAACTGAGCTTTAAGTATTTGTCTCAGGTCACTTAATTACTGCAAATCCAGAAGTGAAACCCAAGTCTGTGTGACCAAATGTCTATGTTCTCTCCAAGAAAAGGATTTCTATTCAAAGAAGGCCGAAAACAATGCTAAAAAGTAAACTGCTTATTCTAACACCAAAATATACATACAGTATGCCAATCCTCACAATAACCTCTTATTAGGTTATTCCATTACTACGAAAGATGACGCTACCTCAGAAAAGCCCAGAATGTACAGCAAGGAAGCAAAACTCCACGTTAACACCAGTAGTTGAATACAGACCACAGGAAAAATGCAAAGACCTTAGACAGTGGAGTTATCAGCTCAAGATTCAAAACCTAAACTAGTCAGATCTTCTGCTACATAAAATGGAAAGGTAGACATTAATGTCAACTTTCACTTTCAATAAGGAGGATGGCCATTTAATATCCTATTAAGTGGCAACCTAAAGACTAAAGATTCTTAAAGTAATGAACAACATACTACTTCACAGAGCAAAGGTTTTTGGAGGGCAACACCATCAAATGAATTCAAATATACTCAAATAAACACAAATATATGAAATATTTTCACAGGACTAGATGAAAAGAAATATTCCATAGCAACATTTTAGTGCAACATCTGAAAAATACTTTGCTACTTCTTGACATATTTTCAGGGCCTAAGTGTGAACTACAAGAGAAATTGCGCCAATGCCAGTTCTGAAGATGTTACCATTTTGATTAAAAAAAAAAAAAGTTTGTCTTACTGTCTGAAGTCTAAAGTAGCCTTTTCTACAGAAACTGGCCTAAGCAGATTCGTAAGGCACTGTCCAATATGTTTTGATAAAATGATGAAGGTAACAGTTAAATTCAAGCATGGAACAAGTCAAATTCCAGAAATAAATATAATCAGTCCGGTGCAAAGTAACCAGGCGGAGACTTCCATGTTTGTTCAACCTACAGTAAAACACCTATGGTCTTATGCTTTAACCCCATAAAAACTACAGGCGTTCCTCAGGAAGCTTGCCGCTGCCTGATCCGCACATCGTTGTGGATCATTAAAAACCGGAATGCATCAAGAATTGCTTCCAGACTTGAACTAGCCCTAGCTCAGTTATAAACGAAGAGGTAAACAAGTACAGACTGTTCTGATTCCGGAGCCAGCACTGTTTACTTACACGGAAAGATACTCATGTTGTGATGGGAAACGTGTTGCACTGTCTTCCCCTGGCACCAAAACAAAACAACAAAAAACGCCGATACTTTGATAAGCTAATGGAAGCGTGAGTCTAGCCCCAAAAGTTCTGACCTCTCTTTTTAATAGCTTAAGGGCAAATATTCAAATACCAACATCCGACACAAGGCGCCCCGAGGTGCTGCCTATGGCATAACCTGGAAGGACATCACTTTGTCCAAGAAAGAATGTTCTTACCCTACACACACTCCCCCACAGTGGCTAAATGGGAGACTTTAGATACCGTCATTCACCCTGGCGAAAGAAAAGAGAAGAAATCAAAACCAGACGCGCTTCCTCCTCGCCCCCGAACTCGGAGGAGCAGAACTAGAGGTTTAAGCTGCGGTTCCAAACCAGCACCAGGCCCCCGCCACCCGGGCAGCCCGAGCAGCACGGCTACAAAGCCGAACCATCAACATCTCCACCTCCGTCCTCCGGGCTCAGCCAGGGACTGCGTCCCAGAGCCCGCCCCGGCGGGGCCCGCCCCGCTATCTCCTCCCCCGTTATCCGCTCGCAGCCGCGCTCGGGCCTGGATTTGCTTTCCCAACTTCGAGATGTTCCACTACCCCATTCGCGTAGGCCACCGGTCTCCGCGAGTCCAGGGGGGAAAGGCCGGGGGGCCGCAGGGAGAGGAATGCGCTCGGCGCGGCACCTCACCTCTGGATGGAGAAGGGGCACGCAGCCCGCTTCGGAATCGTACTCATCCGGGCCGTCCGCCATCTTGGTGTTAAATCCCTCCTCCCGCTGCATGCCGGGAGAAAGCGTTTCACCCTCGCGGGGTTCGGGCGAGGCGGAGGGCGAGCGCTAGGGCGAGCGCGAGCCCCGCCGGAGGCGACGCGGCCGCCTGCTCCTGCTTCCCCTCCCCCCGTGATTCCCCTTCTGCCGCCCTCCCCGAGGAGGGCGCGGGTCCCTGCACGCGTGCGCACGAGCCGGACCAGCCCGAGCGGGCGCGCGCTCTGCTGCACTGCGCCGGGGCGGGCGGGCGGAAGGCTCTGGGAGTGGGCCCCGCGGCCCGGGGGCGGGCCCGAACCCCGGCCCCGCCAGATGTGCACCTCTGGCAGCCTGCGGGAGGTGGCCTCGGGCCACTGAGTGGTTCACGTGGGAAACCTAGCGGTGGCGCGGGAACTAGGATAAAGCCCCGGAGCCGCGCGGCTGAAGTCGGGGGCCTCAGGCGATCGAAGCGGCCCACGCCCAAGGAGCCTCGCTGTCCGCCCCGGGACCCTGGGGATCTCTCCTCGGAGACCCGGGGCGAAACCATCACCTGCCTCAAGGTACAAGATTCTGAGCTCTCAGTACTGAATCCAGGTGTGCAACGACCTGAAGGCGAAAAATTTGCAAACCCTTTTTCCAAACACAATAAGGTCACCCCATTATTTATGCATGGGGGGGCGGGCCCCTGTAAAAACACGTATAAAACTTGGGACTGCCCCTAAAGAAGCCTTTGACAATGGTCCCGACCTGATCTCATTGGTCTTGAATTAACAGTAACCACATTAAAAATACACCCCTTAAAGCCCACACAGTCCTTTCTACTACATTTTAATGCACTCCAGGAATTCTCATTTTAAGCCCATTTAAAACTGAATTCGCGGAAATGCGAGCCAGATGAAACGACTAAAGCCATTTTTAAGCGAATGTTAGAACTTTATGAATTGGAGTGAATTTCTTCCTGAGAATATAGTAAGTAATAGGAAAATTGTAGGAGGCATTAATCTTTGTTTTCAGCTGTTGAAATTTGTAAATCTGAAAGGAAGTTTGGTAGAGTTGGTGACAGTCCATTAGAGATCCCGATACTAAGCTGTCGTAAAACCAGATCAACCAAAGACTACTAGGAAGCAGCCTGCAATCTTCTACATCAGATTTATTTGTAAAGTGGGAGGAAAGACAATCCAGAGGAAGCGTGGATATCGCTGGTAAGAAGGCAGCGCTCTAGTAAGATTTAGGTTCCCGCCTAAGGAGTCTGGAGGGCTCTAAGGAGAGAGGGAGGGATGGGGATCAGTCTGGATTGGATGCTGTTTCTGAGGCGGCATTAGCAAAAGCAGGGATTAATCGGGGATTGGATGCTGTAAGTGAGAAGGTTCTTTAGTGATAGGGTATGCCCAGTCCTAAATGGAAACAGCATTGTGGCTTCGGAGTCACTAGTAATAGAGCAGTATCGTTCAACGAGGGAGTGGATGTGGCATTTTGCAGATGCATTGTGTGGCAGTGGAAAACGATGTTTTCTGAATTTTACAACTGGCATTTGCAGTGCCGTTTCCGCCTCTGCAGTCTTAGCTAACTTTCCTCCTTTTGGAATCGACTGAAAACACAAATCTTCATTTTGATTCTTTCCCCACTAGGCAGAACTACAAAGAACTAGGATTCTGCCTTTGGAATAGCAACCTCCTTTGAATTCATTCTATCATGTGCAGAAGTAATTTTCACTGAAACAATTAAAATTCAGTTTTTATCTTGTCCTTCATTACCTATGTGTTATGCATCTGCTGGCAATAGAGAGGCTCTTCTGAACCTGTGGCTGCTTTATTCATTTTCAACTCTTTCCTAACTGCTGTAGACATTTTTATTTGTGACTTCTGACAATTCTATAACATAAACATAGAGAAAATTTAAAAAGGAGAAAAGAAAATTAGAAAAAAATTAAAATAACTCAAGCAGGGATTGTGTCCGTCTTGGTCACTACTATAAAGCTGAAATAAAGTGTTTACATGAAGAAAGAAAGAAACCAGTAGCAAAAGCATCCATTCTTGGGAAATATGTTGAAGTTTAAGGTTTGAGCTTAACCAAAATGAAACCTAAACAATCAGAGTCCATTTTAGTAACTCTAGGGTTTTACTTACATACAGATTTAAGACAGTATATTCAGGGTACTATAAAGAGCAACCAAGAAAGAGTACATCAATGGCTATGATGGAGGAAAAGAGTAGAAGACCTGAGAGAAGCATCACAAGTTTGGAACCTGAGCTTGCAAGGAGGTGGGGGCAGAAGGGACTAACATGACCATTAACCCAGTCGTAGAGACTCCTGTATCAGACTGCTGTAGGGAATATCGGAAGCACAGATCTAGAGTAAAGATACAGAGATTGGGCCCACTGTGAGATTCCACATAGTAAACCAAAATCAGCAGCAAACAGGCCACCCCACAAAGGAGTGAGTGCCCCCAAGGAGAAAAGGACTATATCAAGGCAGTCTCTACTCTAGCTAGCAGTCCTCTACCCACCTGTGACTATGCAGATGCTTCTTTCCACCCACTCTCCCCACTTGCAGGCCAGCAGCCTCCTGCCTGCCAGTAATTTGTACAATGCCAGGACTTCTCCGCACTGACCTCCCTCAGTGGAGGCCACTTTCCTAAGGCTGCCTGAACCTTACAGGCCTCTCTCTGCCTGCTTGTGCCTATGCACAAGTAAAGTGTCTTAACTGCTATGTCCTTTTCCCTGATAAACCTGCTCTTTAAATATAACCGAATCTCTGTCTCATGGGGAAACGCACCTGGGGAACTCGCAGCATGCTGCTGAAAGGGGAGTGATGGTGAAACCTTTCCCAGAGTGAACTCAAGAACCCAAAATCCAAAAATGACATCAGCTAGATTGTCAAAAGAATAACACAATTATGGAGGAATGCAGAATCATTGTTGAAAGAGAATAAAATATTAAAAATTGACCTTGTTAGGGCAGAATTATAAAATGAATTTAGAAGCAGCCAGATTGGAAGGAATGTATAGATGTGGCTTTATGATGTTACTTCAGCAACTACTGGAACTAAAGATAGCATTAAAGATCATCCATTTCTAGTCCAACCAACATTTCACAAGTGGGAAAATAATGGCTAAGAGGATTTAAGAAAACTATTTACAGTTACAGAATTAAGTAACAGTAGAGCCAGGTCTGGAATCCTCTTGACTTAGCCATCTGCTACTCTTATCTCTATCCCATATGTAACTCTCAATGAATTGTTATTTTGTCCATTTACTAATTACTTACTAAACATTAGTTCTGTGTAAATATTAGAATTAGTCATATCATAAAGAGTATTTAAGATACCACTCAGGTTATTTGACCTAGCTAAATGTTCCCCAGTTAAGTTTTGTTCTCCGAATTTTAATCAAATATTTTAGTGGTAACATTTTCCTATAACAAATTTCAATGTCTTTTTAGAATTCTGGACTCTAGAACTAAGTGAAATATTGAGTACTTAATGCTTAGAATAATTACAAACACTTAAAATTAGGTTGGGGCAAAGGGGTGCTATTTTAACAACAGAAAGCAGGCACACAAATCAATGTTATTTTAAGTGCAAACTGTAGTTTTGCATTCATATTCTGTATGAGTCATTGATGTGATAAAAGCAAGCTGGAGAATTGGCATGCCTGATAACCAACTTTTAAGGGGGCCTCCAATGATAACCTATCCCCTGGTATTCACAGCTTGGTATAGTGCCCTCCCATTCTGGATAATCACCTGTGCAACCAATAACATATTACCAAAAAATGCATGTGACTTTTGATGTCAGATATGAGACCTTGTGGCTCCTGCCATGTTCTTGAATTACCAGCTCTGGTGGAAGCCAGTTACCTCATCATGCAGACATCATGTAGCCCCACAGAGAGGGTGACATGGCAGGGAACCAAGGCCTCCTGCCAATAACCAGCATTGACTTGTCTGGCATGTGAGTGAGCCTCTTAAAATGCCGGTCCTTTAGCCTCATTCAAGCTCATATGAGAAACTGTGAGCCAGAACTACCCACCTAATTGGAATTGAGGTACAATTCCTGACTTACTAAAATTGTGTGAACTGTGTTTTTCTCTAAATTGCCAAATTTTGATTACTGCTTAATTGAACTTGTATAATTTGTTGCAATATGTACAGCCTGAAACCCTTGAAGTCATTTACAAAGTTGTGTGTTAATAATAAAGCAGCAGTATAAAACATTCCATCTGATTTAATGGAACTATTTAATTTATTCCTAAACTTGCTCTCTTAGAAGAAATGTACAACCTATTTTATTATTTTTGTGGGGGGAACATTATGTATGGTATGCAAACTGCCTGTGCAGAGAATATTGAAAAACTGAGCTAAACACACCCCTAGAGAGTGCGAATAACTTGGAGTTAACTTTCAAGAGCCATCTGTGTCTCCAAAAAAATGTGAGCATGTGATTTAATGTTGAAAAATAATAAGGGTTGAAAATGACAGTGCATATATTGAAGAGGATTTGGAGAGAAAGGATTGTCTAGGTAGCAAGAGTTTGGATTGTGGGAACTTAACTTGTCTAAGAAAATTCCTGCTGCCAGGAAATGTGGGATGAATGCACTTAGTGAAGCAGAGGCAATTCCACCGTGACAGTATGTACAATGCCAGGAACCTCATGGGTCATAGCCCTTGCAGACCCAAGGTCTCGCCTTATTCTGTATGTGGAATCAGATTTCCCATGTAACACACTATCATTGTGCTTTGGGAATAACTCAGGATGTAGCCATGCCAGGAAGTGCCACTCTTGGCCTTTGACCCTCACTTTCTACAATGTTCCAACCCAAAGGTACCTTCTGAGCACCTGCAAGCTGGAAGACTGGAGAGTATCTGAGAAAGGTTCAATATAACGGTGATCGATGAAAGACTTTCTTGTATGCATATATACATTTTTCAATACATTTTCAAGTGTTCCAAAAAGGTTGCTCATATCTAGGAAAACTTGAAATGTAAAAAACTCTACTTTTTTAGAATTACAAAAAGGAAAATTTATACTAGAGATTTTAAACTATGTTATTTTATGTTTATTTAAATGGGTGGTTTGTAAGCAGTAATCTCAAGGGCAAGAATCCCTGCCTGATACATAATGCTGATCATAATTGCTTATTCAAAATAGCTATTCTGTATTTGTTAAATGAGTGAACAATAAATGAAGAAGGTAAGAAAAAAGGAAGCATATAAGCCTTCATACAGACAAAATTCCACATAATTTGGTTCCCCCGGGAGAAAACAGTCAAGTTTACTAACTTTTTTTCAGTTTCAAATAGTATATTTTGAATGAGAGTAAAGCATGAAGCAGAGCAGGCTATTTGACTTGCATTTCCCCTTCTCCCTTGTACAAATTAGAGGGAAATCTGAAAAAGTCAACACATGTTTTAGTGATTCCCATATATTTTCCACATCTCTACCATTCTCTGTTTGCTCCTGGTATTCTGCAATAGAGTTAAAGTGATTTATGTTTTTCTGCAGTGGCTATAGAATTAAATTCTGCACATTTTCACTAACATGCTGAGAATATTCTTTACACATTTTCTTTAAAAAGAAAAAAAGGGCTTTTGATGTGACTGTGTGACACTTAAAGGAAGTGACCCCAACTATGATTTCATTCTCTCCTTTCACACTGAT